TGCAAACTGCAAACCAGAGATCCCTAAATCCTTCAGTCCCATAAGTGTCCATTCTCATTCTTCCCCAGTCTCCCACACTAGAAAGAAAGAAATGAGTCTTCTCTCTTCCTCCGGGCCCTTTATCTCACTCCCTTTTTGGGACACAGACCTCAGAGTTAATGGGACACCCTGGAGGACAAAGAGCACCAGAGCAGCTAAAATCAGACACTGCAGCAAAGAAGTTCCTAAGATGAGAAGGACTGTCTAGAATGACAGTCAGGAAAAACTTCGCACTTCAGCAGAGGAGGGAGCCTGAGGGATGCCCACATTGGAAAACCCTCCCCTGTGGCTAAGGGAGCTCTGGACTTTTCCATTCTGAGGACGGATGTGCCTCTGTGACACCCTCAGCCCCAGTGTGAGTGTCATCCCACAGCCAAACACTTGTGGGAGGCTCAGCATGCCGCCACATGTGACCATATTTACTGTATGAGAATCACGATGGAGAAATGACATTTAGCAACCACCTTTCCTTATTTCTCCTCAAAGATAAACTTAGAGTTTGCTTTGCCTTATTCCCCCCACCCCCTTCTCCCTCACTAAATGTTCAGAGCCCCTTTGGAGTCTGTGCTGGTGTTCTCCTGTCCAGCTCCTGCAAGAAGGGAGCAGCAGGGACTGGACTGCTGCAGATTGCTCTCTGTGTTACATTCCCCCTTCCAACCTTGCAACAGTGCTTGGGCGAAAATTATCTTCCCAGGTGCTTATCTTCTTCCCTTGCAGGCCCACAGCCACCCCACTGTACCACTGCAGGTTTTCTAAATCAAGCCATTTGTAATTAAAAAATAAAATATTTACAGCAAACACAGATGGTTCCTGCCATGTGTTAGTGTTAAACTGAGCTGAATCACACCCAGAGCAGCAGATGAAGGTAAAGATTTCATGGAGACTGGTAATGACTCACAAGTGCCATCATATTTACTTTTTTTTTGGAGCAGAATCCCACTTTCATTATCTTCTTTCTGACATTTTAAGGGTAGCAAATTAAGAAGCAAGCATAAAGAGAAGTCTTGTAGAGAAGTATACAGATGCATAATCTGTAAAGAACTATGTGAAATGTAAGACTGCACGTGAAATGAATCAGTGCCTTTGGAGGTGTGAGGCTTGGTCTAAGCTACATAAAACCAAAAAAAGAATATTATGAAACTGCTCATTTATTTAATTTCTTTCAAAGATGACAGGCTGTGTGTTTTATTGGGAACAGTCATGGCTGCTTCCTGCAGTTTTCCTGCTTTAGGGTCTGCCCCAGTAACCAGGGAAGTCACTTCTGCAGTCCAGGACTTTCCATCAAGGATCTTTCAGGAGAGGGGTAGAACTGACAGAGGGAAACAAAAACATCTTACACAACTGTGGCATTTGCCAGAATCCATCTGGCAAAGCCCTCCATGGGCTTCTCAGGGCTCACTGTACAGGGAGCTCTTGACTGTTGATGCTCTTGACTCCTGAAGTACCATATATTTCAAATTAATTATTCATGTTTCATTACAAAGTAAGCTTTCAGCTGCTTTTTAGTCCTGTTAGCCAACAATGCCTCAGTCAAAGGAGCAGGATTCTGTTGCTTCTTGTGGGAGACATTATTTGCATTGCTTCCTGAATCTCAACTTGATGACTAATCGGTTGCAACTGAGCAAACCCAGTGAAAATAAAAGAGCCTGCAGAGGTGTCACTGAGAGTTTAATTAAGCTTCCAGATCCTTTACTACCAATAACCTCGTTGCATAACTAAAGGAAAGATCCGCCAGAGTCTGATTCTCCGTCTGGTTTGCAAAAGGGGAAATCACACAGAACTTTTCTTTGTAAATATAGCACGTTTAAGAGATGTTAACTCACATACAAAAGCAGAATTCCCAACCCCGTTATTACAGAACTACTTTTTCAGAAGAGATTCATATACTGAAGTCAACATTGCAAAACAAATTGTTTCACAGGGCTTCTAAAGGAAGATGGGTTTCTCAGGGAAAACTGTAAGCCAGCACTAATTAGGCTCAAAAGCCTGATGACAGGCAGATCATGATTTTCACATCATCAGACAGTTCCCAGCATTTCCATTAACTACATTATTTGGAGTGATGAGAAAACTAAAACCTGGAGAATACATGCAGGCTAGCACCATTGATGGAGTGGGAGATGGTGCTTTCAGAATGTCTGCTGAGAGCTTCCTCCACGAACATGTGGCATAATTGTTTTGCATTCTTACAATAATTAGACTGTGTAAACAATGCTAGCAACAGAGGGAAGATGGTAAACACGCCTGACTTTCACTTGCACTGAAAGCCAACTACTGCTAGGTAAGGGGGACAATGTGCAAGCATTACCAAAACTCCAAATTTACATCAGAATCAATCAAGGCAGTAACTCCCACTCTTTCCTCATTGTTTCCAGAATCTAGTGAACACTCCAAAAGGACAGAGCCCATATCCTGAAATTGAGAAAAACATGGAAAACAGTATACTGTTATAAAGAGAAATGTCACATTCACCTCTTCAACTACCATATTTTCAGCTCTGATCCAAGTTGCATTGAAGCTAATTAAAAGTTTCACATTAGCTTCAGTGAGATCTGAGGCAGCTAAAATCACCATACTGTTCTGATTCTAATTATATTTACAAGAAAGATTCTAATTTTATTTACAAGAAAATCTATGTAACACTAATTCCAAATGTTGTTAAATGTCAAGGAATCATTAACTTAAAGGAAATGAGAAAATCAGTGACAGAAACCAATTCAATTCACCCTAGAGCTGTTGGAAGAGAAGGAAGGACCATGAACTTCCTTTATTTTTACAAAACTATACATGTTTCTGCAGAAAACAAACCAAGCTAGGTAATCCTGGAAATGGGGAAATGAATCCCACACAACTTCCCTTAGTCACCACGCGCTGTAAGTCCAGCTGGTGCCAAAATCGTGACGCTTTGCGGAACATGACCAGAAAAAGCAGCAGTGAAAACAGATACAAAGCTTGTAGTGACACTACCAGATACAGATACATTCAAAAAAGTCAGCCTAGCATGCCCAAGGGAATTAACCTGAGTATTAAAAAAACCCAATCTAGGCAAAGTAACTTAAACACCACTCAAATTCAGAGGTTTGAACAGCTGCCACTAACTTGAATTAAACCAACTTATCTTTGCTGACAGTTTAAGTCCAATTAGCCAATTCAGGATAATAAGTCACAGATGGAGAATTATCAGAAGCTAACTCTCAGCTGATGTGCCTGAACATCCTACAAAAATTTTCATGGAAAAGGTCATGCTATTTCAGAAGATCCACACCCATTATGCTGCAAGAAAGGGACTAAACTCAGCAGGATCAGTTTTATCTGGAGAGCTGAAGGGTGGCTTCCTGAGATACAAAATTCAGCTACCTCTTGAGAAGAGCATGGGTCGCTATAATAACTGCACTTCAACTACATAAAGCAGCTGTAATATGTTTTGTAAGCTTCATTTCACTTGCTGACTGTTTTGGGAGTCTGCTGAGCTCTCAGCATTTCAAAGTGTCAAAACTGCATTCAGATCATAGAAAAAAAACACAAGGAGCATCAACAGAAAAAAAGCAACAACAGAAAAAAAAACAGAAGAAAAGGAAACAAGAAAGTGGAAGACAAACTTTATATATGCATGTTTTCATGTCTCTATATAAAATTAATATCAAAAGCATGCATAACAAATTATCAGGTTCAAGGAGAACCTCAGTTTATACCCTCACACAGGATGGGTTTCAATCTTAATGCTCAGAGGAAGGAGCTAGAAACTTTTTACACTATTGCAAGGCATTGGGAATTTTTGTTGGTTTTGGGTTTGTCCTTTTTTAAAAAAGGAAACCTCTTAGTACTCAGTGCAGCAAAAGTTTCAGTTTATGGGGCTGTTCTCAAGTACTGTGTCTCACAACCTGAAAACTGCTCCATTAGCTCAAACCAGTGGCCCATCCAGTCCTGCTGACACTGCATACTCAATGTACCCTGAGGAAGGCAGAAAATAATGCTGCACAGGGAAAAGTTATGGAGTAGTTCTCCTATAAATACCTGCTCAGTTATTAAACAGAGGCAAACACAACTGATATAACTACAGAAGCCAGGGGATGAAAGGGCACAGCCAGCATTCTCCCCGATAGAGGTCTGGCTACCACATATCACAGCATCCCCATCTGACACAAGAGCCCTCCCCACTCAGCCCCTGCCTGTAACCCGTGCACCTCCGGCCGTGGTGATTTCCCAGCTGCGGGAAGATTCATCAGCCTCAAGCGGGTTTTAACACACACTTGTGCAATGGTTTAAAGCCCTTAGCCTGCATTCTGTTCACTTTCCTTTGTGGAGCATCAGTGTGCTCTGAGCAGCCCACGAGCATTCGCTCCCAGTGAAGTACTCCCATGCCGACTACCAAGAGTGCAAGTTACTTCAGATCCTCAATTTTCACGGCAGCACAGACGACACCGTGCCTGCCTTTCCGAGCGGCGAACGCTGAGTTCGCACTCAGCCTCCAAAGCTTGCCCCGGTACGGGCGGGCTGCCGCGGTGGCTTCCAAAGCAACCCGCTTCCTTCCCCGCCAGCCCACTCCGCTAGTCTGCCCTACAACACAAAGCTGTGGGGGCGAAGGGCTCGTCTCTAACCCAAAATACAGCAATTAAAAGGAGCATGGTGAAATAACCACCCCAACTCCGGACCTTCGGGGACCTCTCTCCCCCTCCAAAGCCCTCGGGCCGAGAGGCATCGTACCTTCCTTCCTCCGTCAGTCTCCAGCCCTATTTTCCAGCCCAAACGCCCGCGAAAGCTTCCCCCGCTCCCCGCAAGGACCTGGGCAGGAACTTTGGCCGCCGCCCCGCGTCCCCCTCAGCCGGGGCGCCGGGCCGCCAGCTTGCCCCCTCCTCCCGGAGCCTGTCCGAGCAGGGTCCTGCTGGGGCGGCTGCCCGCGGGGAAGGGGCCGAGGGAAGGGGCTGAGGGAAGGGGCAGGGGCCGAGGGCAGGGGCACTCACCCTGGCAGTGGCAGCAGGCGCCCGCCGCGGGGTGGAGCGGGGGCGGCGCGGCGGCCGGCATGGCGCGGGAGCTCGGCTCGGCTCCGGCCAGGGGCTGCCCGCACAGCTCCGCACAGCTCCGCACGCTCCCTCCGCGCCGCCTCCCGCCTACGAGGGCAGTCGGGGAGCGGGAGAGAGGCAGGGAAGGAAGGAGGGGACCCGGCGGAGAGGAGAGGCGGTGCCGCACACCGGCGGTCACACCCCCGCAGCCCTTCCCGGGCTGCCCCGCCGGCGGCACCGCCCCGCCGCCTCAGCGCCCGCCCGCCCCCGCCCCGCTGCTCGCCCGCCCGCCTCCCGCCGTTCCCCAGCGCCCGGCTCGGCCCCAGACGCCGGAGTGTCCTCGTTTGCCCCCCAGCCGGGTACCCGCCCGCCGGGCACGGGTGTTTGTTGCGTGCCCGGGGGCTCCCTCCGTTCCCGCGGGTGTCCCCAGATGGCGGGATACGGGGCATCGCTCCCAGCCCGCTCATGAGTGAAAACGCTTTTATTGTCGCCCTGTAGATGCCAAGCAGACTTGGTAAATCATTCACAGAATCACAGAAGATGCTGAGTTGGATGAGATCCTTCCTCAAGTATCATCGAGTCCAACTGCTGGCCCTGCACATCACCATCCCCAAGAGTCACACCATGTGCCCGAGAGCATTGCCCAAATACTCTCGAGCTCTGTCAGGCTGGTGCTGTGACCAATTCCCTGGGGAGCCTGTTCAGTGCCCAACCACTCTCTGGGGAAAGAACCTTTTCCTGATACCCAACCTAAACCTCCCCTGACACAACTTCAATTTCGCTTGGATTAAAAAAGACAAGCACTAAGCGACGTAAGCAAGGTGCACCCTGGATGCATGAACAACTTGTTGCCCAACATCTATATAAAATATGAGGAGTTTATTTCATCCAGACTGCCCATGGGATGCTGGCTACATGGCCGGCACACCTAAAAAGATATGCAAGTGAAGTGATGAGCCACAAAGCTTATTTAAGGGTTGTATAAATAGAGATTGGTCCCCATATCATGCTACAAAAGGAGATGCAACTTAATAACAGCACATACATACCTTCATAGAGGTAAATACCACAAACTAAAAGGCCCTTCAACTTTGTAGTTGAAATGGACAAGAAAGTCAATGTCTGGAAGCTGAATGTGGGTAAATTCAAATAAGAAATGTTATGGATGGGAGTAAATAATCACTGACACAAATTGTGGAGGGAAGCTGTATTTTATTCTTTGTAAGTCTCCTAATAACACAAGATGTCTCTGTGGAAAATAATATGTAAATACTGTATGAATAACTGGTAAATACAGTATCCCAACAAAGAAGTTGGACTTACATGCAAAATTTAGTGGTTCGAGATATCCAGTAGGTCAGACTAAAAGATGTAGTGTTATGTCATTCTGGCCTCAAACTGTATGAACAGAACAAAGCAGAACATGCTAAATATTATCTTATACTCTTATTTTTGTCATTTACTGAAAGTATTGTCAAGCTGCCCTGTTTAATATCTTGTCTTCTATGATTTTACTTCCAGGGTATTTCATCATTTTGGGGGCAACAGAGTCTAACACAAACACCTTTGTAAAAGTAGATCTTGAACAATATTTTCCCTGAAATGTGTTTCACTGTACTTATAAAGAAATGGGTATAAAGCTCAAATATCTTTACTCACTTTTTGACATGGAGAATTAGTATTTGACTAGACTATGTGGTGAGTGAAACTATGTAAAATAAAAGCATAGCAAAAGCTGTCTTATAAACAAGTCAAAACTCAGTTTGTCAAAACCCTGCAACACATTATAATACCAGAAAGCATAACTTCACCATCTTTTGAAATCTTCATATTTGTTTAAAATCTCAGAAACTTTCAAATCCCATATTTATTTTCTTATTTTTGCCTTACTCCCTTATCTAGAGCTCATTGCTTGCTACAGTCCTGCAATCATCATTATATTCTTAGTTTTGAACAAAAGATCTTCAGAATTAGAGCTGCCTGGAGGAGCATAACCAAGGTGTTGCTTTTCAGTCATTTTCACACATGCAGTTTGTGTTGTGTCACAACACAAACCTCTTCTCACACCTCTTCTGACACACCCCTTGCCCATGTGAAATCCTGGCTGCAGTAAAGGCAATGCAATAGTCTTCTGCTATTCCCCATCTTTCACCCAGTCCTTCAAACAGTGTAACAGCTGATTTCTGCAGTTGTTGGCATCTCAGGTATTAACCCTGTCTTGAGAAATCAGGGACTGTGTTCAGTTCCTCTCTCTGGGACTCCTCCACCAGGTCATTCCACTTTTCTGTGTGTGACCTTTTCAATGTGAAATGTCAATAACAACATCAGTTAAAGGGATTTGCTGTTGTTGGATGCAAAATCCTTAGAACAGCTAAGTGTCACTCTACAGTTGGCTTCCAAAACAAGAATGCAACATGACCCAAAAATAAACACTAGGTCAGTGGCACCTTCATTTCTTATCCTAAAATGAAAAACAGATGAGGAGTGAATACAGACTTCTGAAGACACCTCATCTCTACTTAGCTCTGGAAAACTGTCATCTCTGCCTTCATCAGAGTTCTGTGAAGGGGTTTTTCCTTTAATCCACTTTTTAACCAGCCAGTGACTTCAACCACTCCATTCCTCTGTTAAACTATCTGCTGCTTCCTTGACATTTCTTAATAAGTGTAATCAAGAACCACAAGATTCGCTTCTCAATTATACCTTTTTAACCTGTAAGAAAGCTGAATTTCACAGACAAACCAGCAGAAAGTTGCCAAATACACGTCTCTGTGTTTTGCACACCAGCTCATATATAGTATCTACAGATGGCTATGACTGGCAACAGATATGGTGGTACACCCTTGGAAATGGGATATTCAGCCTCTTTTAGTAAGAAATCCTGCTTTCTTTTGGCCTTGTCCTAAAATCAGCAATTTTCTTCTGCTTAGAAACCACCTTGTTGTCTCCCTTTTCTCCTCCCTTGAGACTCAGGGTTCTGCTGGCACCTGTTCTGTTTCAAGGGCTGTGCTTAAATTAAAGGAGATATGTAAAACAAAATTTCCACCTGATCTTCTTGAGGAATTATTCTCTCTAGGTGATCATGCTCGGAAATTGCATTTTGTTTGCTCCTTGTTGTATTCTTATAAATAAATCACTAAAAAATGTCCACTTTTTTTTCACGGTGGACCTATTAACCACATAGGATCATCTGGTTATACCCCAGATTGGATCATCTCTTCTGCTATCACAATACATTGCTTTGAAAGTGATAAACCACCTGTACACACCATACCAAGTGAGAAAGAAGTCGCAAGAACTACTATATATATTTATTTGCCTCTCTTTTGCATAATTTAAAAGATATTACAATTGCTTTGTGACAAGAAAAAAATCAGCTACTTTAAACTTAATCAGTTTATTCACAATGTCTGATGAGAGCTGTCTTCCAAATGTCCAGAAATCTAATCTAGGATATTGAATAAATTGGCATAGAAATATCAGTTTCATAATGAGGTTTCAAAACCAAAAATGTTAGTCTATCATTTTTATGTGAAAGTCATTCATACACAGTGGTTTTCCAACTTGCTAATAGTCCCTGAGGTGGCAAATTAGGCTTGAAGTCTCGGAGCCCAATGCTATAATGTAATTTTGCTTTAGTTTAGAAAGAAAAGTGTGTGTATCGTTTTCAAACAAATATGAATATCCCATGGCACTGGGATATTCCAAACACCCAGGAGCCAATGGTTGCTTGGGGCACATTAAACTCTGTCACATCATGTGGTGTAAGGCAGCTGCCACTGACACAGAGGCTGAAATAGAGAGGCTGAAATGCTGTGACAGGCAACCTGACACTGCTGCTTTTGGCAGAACTATCAGGGATTATTTCATATTTGCCAAAAATACCTATATTGTAAATAAGACAGCAGTTAATATAGCTCCTTAAAAAAAAAAAAATGAAACCCAGTGCATTTAATATAAGAACGAGACAAAAAACACCCCTGACCTTTACAGAGGACTAAAAATAATACTGAGTTCTCTCTAAACCACATTTCTATCTCATTTTCTATGGCTTGAGTATATGAAATACAAGGGGCAAAAGATGAAGGAATTAATCTAAATGAAGGTGAGGGTAGCTAACAGTCTGCTGCTGTTAGAGCTCCATAAGCTAATATTTCAGACCTCTTCAATAAGAAATCAAAAGCCATCAGTAAAATACCAAAAATGAAAGGCATTATTGAAATCACAAAAAACAAATGCCAAGCTATATGTGAACAACACAGGATTTACCCACCACCCTCAAAAATAAATCTAAAAAAAAAAACGTTTATATGCATGCTCCTCCTTAAATGTCATGAAGGAAAGTGTTCCCAATAGAAACCAAATTCTAATACCAGAGTGGAATCAAGACAATGTATAATTTTGCCAGAACAGTGATACTACGGGCATTTGCATAACAACAGCACAGAACAAATTCACAAGATCAAATAAAAAACTCAGGATTTAAAGCTTCCTCAGCCACAGTCAGCAGGCCAGCAGCTATCCAAAGTGAAAACCAGACTTTGGCAACTTTTTACCTTACCAAGAAAGAAGATAATGAACACAATTGACTACTTCTTTCCAGAATTTTTATTTAAAGGGCATATTTAGAAAAGACCATTGTATTCTCACCAAAGTAAGGTCTGTTATCTTCCTCTAACATACTCCCTTATTTCAGCTTCTAAGTCATGAAAATACTTAATCAGTGTCAAATTCAGATAATTAGAAACTGCAATGAAAAAGGGCATTGATAATAGGTGTATTATAAATGGCAATGTTTTGATGATGTAGGATAATTCTCCATGACTCGTTTTGGAAAGTGTTCATGTATTAAAGAGACACTCATTGGTATCAAATGAGTAGAAATTGTGACTGCCTGACATCCCCTGACACTCCAGATTTCAGCTTTACCTGTGCTAAGCAATACATACAGAATTACAACTTCTAGTAAAACTCACAGAATGGCATGCTTATCATTAAGACACTTCTCCAAGGAGACATTTTAT